AAATGTTCCACATGTAAATCGAGTACTCGATACGGAACGTAAAATGATATTTTAATCTTTTAATTATCTTATATTGTGATTGACGGCCAATTTTAATATATTTTTAATACCAAGAAAACATTACGTCTAATTCAACCGGTAATTTAGGATTCTGCTTGAGTTTGTATAAATCAAATTTCAAATACCGGCACATAGAAGTGGATGGGGGAAAAACGATTTAATGATTTTTGATTCATTTCACGACCTTTTTCCAAGTGCCTTTTTCGAATGTAACGGCGACAGAACGGTGTGCGTAAATGCGGTACTAACCATTTTAAAATACTCTCTCGGTATGTACACTCCGTGTAACAAAAATCGAGTGAGCGATTAACATCTTGTCAAATCCAATTAATTGTAATCTCCTTCTATTTTGTCCTCGTGTTGATTTCCTCTGCATTCCATTAATTAGAATGATGTGTGCCATACTTCAATATGTGCAAGTGATTTGAAGAAAAATGTAAATTAATGTTAATTAAATTTCTGAGACGTGGCACTACGTGAAGGTGAAGATTTCACTTCACTTCATTTGGACGTCCAAGCGGTTAGAGTAGCAGAGGAGGTAATATACGAAGTCAGACAAGATAAATTATAAAAAAGTTATATATTTTTGGTCTATCTGAAATATATTTAATGAAATAAATTATATATTTGATTTACTGACCGCCCGATTACTTCATTGGCTGCTTACACAGTAAATGACAAATTCAAATTAATATTTGGTTAGGAAACTGCATGCAGAGAGATTTATCCGGATACCGAGATGTAAATCCAGTGGTGCGGACTCGTCGAATTCTTTTGAGCAGTGCAGTACCTTCTGTCTGCAAATATGGAACCCTGAACCACGAAGCTAATTAATTACCTAATCTCGTTCAAATTGATTCGCAAACTCATGCGAGAACCTATGAAATACTTTACTGGGAACTTCAGGCCTGCGGTATACAGAGTGTCCACATGAAATCTTCTCAATTTCTGTTAGCACATAAATGACTCAAACAGCTCCACATAACACTCAGTTGGGTGCATTGAATTCATCAGAATAATGGAGACACCAAACGGTTGTGGAACGAACTAACGAGGCACGTAGCTACATCAGATCAGCACAGAAAACAAAATAACAACTTCAGCTGTTTCATTCTTTTGAAATTCGAATTTCGTAGTGGAACAACAAAGTAGCTGGAGGCAATTTATGGATCGCGGGAAAAAAAGAGAGCAGCGAACCGCGCTGCCATGGAGACCAGCGGAGAGGAGATTGGTATTCACTCCGCAAGCCCCTCAAATCTGCGTCTCATTTCTGCGGCAGTGGCGGGCGATGTTCAGTGGCGTGCAGACTAGAGACACGATCTATTGATATCGATAGAATTAATAAACCAGATGACAAAAAAATGGAGGAGTCGAATAGAGAGAGAGAGCAAGACAGAAAGGGAGTGAGTGAGTAAGTAAGTATTACTGGGTTTTGTCTATCGTAACCAGATGAAAAAGCAGGGAGGAACTATTCAGCTCAGAGCTAACCTCCATCATTGGGAACCCATAGGCAGTCTTCCAAAGAATAGTAAGGAAAACAGTATAAAATATAATAGACATGACAAAGATATCAGGGAGAAAGGAATTATGAAGGAAGAAACTTGAGGAATGAAATTAACGAAGAGTAGAATTAGTTACACATACGAAGTAATAAAGAAACGAAGAATCTGAAGATAATTTTAGTAGAGAAAGTAAGAAAGGAAATAAAGAAAAATGAAGAGAGAAAAAGAAAATACGTACCATAGGGAGACTCGAAAGATAATGCGAAAAATAAACAATATTCGTCAGAAAAATGGATGATATTTTGTTAATGCAGACACAAATTATAAACGATAGGCCCCTATCCGGCTGTTTACTATAGGACTAGTTCTTACGTTAACAGAGCTGTTGTTTCCAAGACGCTGAGAAATATAGGGGAAAAAAGTAGACACGCAGACTTGACAGAAGTGTCTTACTGCCTGCTACACTAGCGCCTCACAAAGCCAATCCCCAAAAGAAAGACTTCAATAGAGTTAAGCAGACAAAGTGCCCCTCCCACTTAATCAAGGGGATGCAACGTCTAAAAATTATAAACGTCAGGACTTCGAGGCAGTTAAGTGCTTTGTAAAAATTTCGAAACCCCGTGGCTCTGTAAGTACAGAGTATCACGTGGCCGAGAGAGAGATATGTTACTCGTACCTGTCACATTTAACCATCGCACGTGTGAAAATGTTCCTCTTTGTACAAAAGGGGGAGGCACGTGGTCAGAATTACGTGATATTGGCCACGTTAAAGTCGTATTTAAAAATCCAGCGTTACAGATTCTGCTCAGAAAAACTATTAGGTACAGGTGAGGTCCACGATTAAATTAGGGATAAAATAAATTAAAGAAATGTTTATTAATCTCCCCAAGTATTGTTACTGTCCCTTGAACTTCCGAAAATATTAAGAACAATATATTAAAGAACAATAATTTTGCTCGAATTTTATATAAATTTATAACGTGATCTCTTGCTGCTAGGGGAAACCCCCAAATTGCGGGTGCTCAAAAATAAGACGCTTAGAAAAATACATGGACTTACGAGAGATGAAATGAGTGGTTGTCGGGCCACCTGCTAGAATAGTAAATTTAAATAAGTTACCATTGGCCAGACATGTACGTCGGTTTGACAGGCTGTGGTGAAAAGGGAACATTTCTTTGCATATTTTACGATGACTACTCTGAAACAGTGTGTCCTAAGACCAAACAATACGAGCTAAATTCCCACGTCATTTACCGACACTGTTTCAACTGGAGGATCCTATAAAGCAGTTGACAAGATTGTATATGATAATTATTCAAGACATTTAAAATCCATCTTCAGTACCAAAACACTAAAGAATAAACAAATTAAATAATACAAATAAACAAAGAAACTTTTTTATAAATTAAATAAATACATAAATTAAGTGATTAAGGAAGTATATATTAATAAAGAATAAAATAAAATAAATACAGATAATTAAGTAAATTCAAACAAATTAAAATAATAAAACTAGTGAAATATACAAAAGGTAGATTTTTTGATATCAATAAACGGAAATTTAAATACGTTAATTAAATATGTAATTAATTTATAAAACCCACTGAATAAGGAGACGTGCGTTAAGTAACAACGTACACTATCCTACTCTTGTCTGCGGCTCTCAGGGGAGCGCGTTTCTTGAAACGGAGTACAGGTCCATCCATTATTAATGCATCAGTGCTTCTTGACGGAATGCCTCGACGTCTATCTACCACGCCCTAAGCAATTCCCTTTCCTAAAGAAACACGCAATAAGGCACGACCCTTAGTGGCGTTACGACACTCAGTGGCGCAGAGGTTAGTTTAGGTTATTTTTTTTTAAAAATAAGACGTCATGAAAATCACTAGTGCCAAGGACTGTTCTACAATATTAAATAATAATTACGCATATATTTTGCCACACCCAAGATGAAGGCTAATTTCAGACCAATCGCTTTAGTAACAATCATGCGTAAGATAGCTCAGTCAGTATAGTGACTAGCTACGGGCTGGGCGACCGGGGTTCGATCCCCGACGGGGGCAGAGGATTTTTCCTCTAGCCTCTGCGTCC